GGCGCCGAGCGGCCTCTGAGCCAGGCGGGTCCTCGGGGCCAGAGCCACGGGCGCCAGGGTGAGCCTGCAACCCCAGGCTGGGTAGATCACTCGTGGATGATCTTAAAGCCTTCTCCTCCAGCATCCGACAGAGGGCTTGCTTGGTGGCCTCGGCACACGCGGTGCTCACGGTCAGAAACGCGCCTCCACCCATGCCCAGATCTGAGCATACTCCCTGAATCCCAGGGTGGAATCTCCACTCTTGTCTCTGGCTCCCGTGTTCCCTGCCTGGAGGTCCGGGCATCATCAAGGTGCCCAAGTTTACCCTCACTGTCCTGGGAGCAGGAACAGCTGCAACACCCAGGAGCTGGGAGCCCGGCGATTCTGTGATCCTGCCTCCTGCATTCCAGCTCGCCATCTGTGCATCTGGGGACACTTTAGCACCTGGGTCTACTTTCCTTATTGGGTTCACAATAGTAAGTCTAGTGACTGACCCACTGGTGACTTACAGAGTACGCAAGGGGGCCTTCAAAAAGTAGCATCAAAAACCTGGCACCAATGGCTCACGCCTGTAATTCTAGCTACTCAGGAGGCTGAGATCTGAGGATCAAAGTTTACAGAGCCAGGTCAGGAAAGATAGTGTGACTCTTTAAAAAATATGTTTGAAAATGCTAGAAACAGAGGGGTTACAGGGGTTACAGTTACGTAGGTCAGGCAAAGAGTACATTTCCTTTTGGACAATGTCACCCCTTCCCTTGCTGACTCCCAGTTTTTTCCTTCCATCCCCACCCATAAGTTGTACAGTTAATTTTCAACATAGTGTCCAGTGAATACTATTGCTGTATTTGTTCATGCTTTGCCCCTCCGTTTCTATGCCTCCCCTTGTCCTGCCAATGACATATAGACAAACAACACACAAAAAAGAAAGAAAACACAGTAAAAACCCCACAAAACCTCATTTCTATTTTGTGAAGTTCGTTTTGACAAATATTATTTTGTATGATCAGTGAGACTCATCTCTGATTAGTCACCCAAACAGCCAAAAGTGGAGCTGTGGCTCAAGTGGTAAAGCACCACCCTTGAGCAAGAAGGCTCAGGAGCAGTGCTCTGGCCCTGAGTTCAAGCCTTAGAATTGACAACACACACACACACACACATACACACTACACACATACACACTACACACACACACAAAGTAGTGTCATGCATGTCCACTGTTAACCGGTGACTGACAGAGGGAGGTCACTGCCTGTGCCCACTCACTATGCACAGCTCCTGTTACTATGGTGATTATCATCCGAAAGCCTGGCTGATCCGGGATGATAAAAGCAGCTTTGACAAAGGCTCCTTTAAGGGTGCTGGGGTTTTCCACTTCATTCCACCTGAGGATCCACACCTGCCTGCACAACTCTCCCACTCTAGAGAGGGTTGGGGGGGGGTGAGCATTTGAGACCTGAGAGTATCTCTAAGTAATGATCAAATGAAATGAGACGTGGCAGTGGTCCATCATGTTTTCCAGCCTCGCAGGTAATGTCTGATGACAGAGCATGGGTCCTCTTCCTGCAATTTCCTGTATCGATGGACCAAGGTGGAGCAGGGAAGGCAGGGTGGAAGGCTGCTCCTTGATCAGCTGCTTGAAGCTCTGGCCCCCTGAAGTTGTAGGGGGTTGGGTAAGTGTGGAATTGGGGTGTCTCTTACCTCTTGGAGTAGGGATTTGGGGAGCCCTCTGTGTACATGTGCTTCTGGGGTCTGGATGGAGGGGAGTGGTGAGAAAGCCATGCCCTGACCTGGTCCTTCACCTACTAGTCTCTCCTCCAGCGAACCAGCCATGGGACCCCAATCAGATTGGCAGGAGTTTCCAGAGACCCCAGAACTTAATTTCTGTTTCTAGAGGTGACCATGGGGGTAGCAACTGGGAAATGAGCTCCCAGCTTCACCAAGCCTCCCATCTTTCCCTTTGGGTATGAGTCAAAATACCTGTAGGCATTGATTTCCTGTTCTAAGTGTAACGAATTGTCATAGGTATAGCACTTTTAGACACAAATGTATTTGTTTTTCTGGAGGATCAGAAAGCTAAAACAGGCCTCCATTTCCCTCCTTCTCTCCCTCTCTCCCTCCTCCCCTTCCTTCTCCTTCTCATCTCCCCTTCCTTCCTATTTTGTCCTCCTCCTCCCCTTCTTCCATCTCTTCCTCTCCCTCTTTCCCCTGCTCCTCCTCCTCCTTCCTCCTTTTTTCTCTAGGCTTGCTGGGCTTCCTTGCTGTGCTGGTGCTCTACCACTTGAGACATGCCTCCAGTCCTGATTTTTCCCGCTTAATTGGAAATGGAGTCTCATTCACTTTTCTGCCTGGGCTGCCTTTGAACTGCTGTCCTCTGGTTCTCAGTCTCCTGAGTAATTGATTACAAGCTTGAGCCACTGGAGCTGGTGTCCACCAACTTTTTGCCTCTTTCTTATAAGAACGCTCCAGCTTGTATGAGCCAATCCTGGGTAAATTTCTTTATGAGAGGATCATTACATAAACCCATCTGCAATGTCCCTTTTGCCTTACATAGGTAATCTACTCATAATTTAGTGGGGGGGTATGTCTTTGAGACCATTCTTGGGTTGACCACAATGTCCATGCAGGGCTTTTGGGGTGATGAATTACAATCTTCCTCCTACTGTCTGCTCAAGACTGACTCAGGCAGCTAGAAAGTCCTACATGAAAAACTTAGGGTAGGGGCTGGTATACGCTTTGCAAGCATGAGGCCCTGGATTTGATTCCTCAGCACCACATAAACAGAAAAAGCCGGAAGTGGCGCTGTGGCTCCAGTGGTAGAGTGCTAGCCTTGAGCTGAAGAGCTGAAGGACAGTGCCCAGGCCCAGAGTTCAGGCCCCATGACCGGCAAAAAGAAAAAACCTTAGGGTAACTCTTCAGCCTCTCTCTCTCTCTCTCTTTCTCTCTCTCTCTCTGTATGTATGTATGCATGCATGTGTGGTGTTACTCAGGACCTGGGTGCTGTCCTTGAGGTGTTTTATTTATTTATTTTTTTGCTCAAAACTAGTGCTATCCAACTTGGGCCACACCTTGACTTCAGCTTTTTGTTGGTTGATTGGAGAAAGAGTCTCATAGACTTTCCTGTCTGGGTTAGCTTTGAACTGAGACACTCAGATTTCAGCCTCTTGAGTAGCTAGAATTATAGACATGAGCTGCTGGAGCCCAGCTGTCCTTTAGCTTCTTTGATCTCTCTACTGGCTCCCCATTCTGGGTACCAGCTTCTGGCATAGGGCTTGCATTCATGCTGCAAGCATCTAGCCAGCCCAATTAGCTTTCCAAGAGGCAGGAGGGAATGCACCTTTCTGACATTCCCAATGTTTGTGCCATGCACACTATCTAAGTGAACCTCCTGTCAGCCCCACAAGGTTGGGAGGATGCCCTTGGATAATGAAATCAAAGAGGAGCCAGGCACCTGTGGCTCATGCTTGTAATCCTAGCTACTCATGAGGCTGAGATCTGAGGATCACAGTTCAAAGCCAGCCCAGACAGAAAAGTCCATGAGACTTATAGAATGCTAACCTTGAGCAAAAAAGCACCAAGATGGGGCCTTGGCCTTGAGTTCAAGCCTCAGGACTGGCATCAAAAAGAAAAGTTAAAGAAATAAGGGAGGGTTCTTCATTCTTCTAGTAAGTGGTAGAGCAGACCAACACCTGGCCTCCATCCTTCCTTCCTCCCTACTGACTAGCTGAAGGCTCACTAGGGCTCCAGGAGACCATTTCTCATAGAGAAGTCCTTGACCTAGGCCAAGAACCTCAGGCGCTGTGGTCAGTCCCCCCTCCATCCACAGTTCCACAGGCTCCCAAAGACCAGCCTGGCCGAGAGCCAACTCCACATAATGAAAGCACCACCCAGGGCTAGCTGCAGGCCTGACCCTACTTCCTGTTTTCAAATCTCTCTCAGTTCTGGGTGTCTGGAGCTGAGAAACTTGGAAACAGTAGCACACATAGTTTCTCTCTTCTATGGCCAAAAGGATGTCATATCTCATTGGTAAGAACATTTCCAAGGAGAGTTACAGGAAGCCCAAGAGTTTAAAGGCCTGCAAATGCCTGCAGGTGATTAATAATTCAAGGCAGTGGATAATTCATGGGAAAGGACACTTGCAATTAACCTTAAGAATCATCTAAGGAAGTGTCATCTCTCATCACTTAGGAACAGAGAGGCCAGAATGGGATAAATGCCACACCAAGAGAGGTATCTAAGATGGTCTTTCTGATATTTATATAAATTCTACTCTGGTTATTCTAGGCCTTTCTTTATGAGAAGTAAAAGGGTTCCCACCACTAGTCCTTTTTTCTTACAGTGCTTGAACTCAAGGCATGCACACTGTCCCTGAGCTTTTGCTCAAGGCTAGCACTCTGCTACCTGAGTTACATCTCTTCTCCCAGCTTTTTTGGTGGTTAATTGAAGAAAAGAGACTCATGGACATTCCTGCCTGCACTGGCTTTAAATCTAGATCCTCAGATCTCAGCCTCCTAAGTAGCTAGAATTGCAGGCATGAGCCACTGACACCTAGCTTGGATATTATATTCTTATATATCATCTCAAGCCTTGGTTGATCTTCCGCTTGTGGGGTTTTCTGCTTTGTTTTGTGTTGTACTTGGCTTGAATTCAGAGCCTTGCACTATTGCTTTTTTATTTTATTGTTTTTTACTCAAGGGGAGCATTCTACCACTGGAACCATAGCTCTACTTCTGGCTTTTTGGTGGTTAATTGGAGATAATAGTCTCACAGACTTTCTTGCCCAGGGTGATTTTGAACTAGGATCCACAGATCT